CTCCCCGCCCTTCTCTCAGCAGTCACCACACGTGGGCTCCGGCAGCAGCACAGAAGTAACGGTGGCAGCAGCGGAGCCCATGGAAATAACCTGGTGAGCTCCCTGCAGGACCAGGGTGCCGCAAACCGGCCCTCCCTCCCCACTAGGAATTGGGTGTTGGCTCCCCAGCAAGAGGAGGGAATTAAAGGGCCAGGCCTCCTTCCTCCCAGGGTGTGGAGCAGAGCTACGGAGCCCTTCAGGGAAAGGGGCCAGTCATTGTGCCAGAGAAGGGGTGTGAACAGGGGCGCCGAGTGGGGGGGGCATACAGGGTTACATGCCCCTCCCTAAAGCACTGAGGGGCGGGGCAAGGGGAGGGAAGAGGCGGGGCAGAGCCTGGGTCCGGAGATGCCCAGCATAGCCGCTGTGCTGGATTGGGCAGTGTCCCAGGCAGGAGGCTGCCTGGGAGAGGACAGAGCACACCCCACCCAGGAACGCGCCATGGGGAGGGGAGGGGAGACTGGGGACAGGAACAAGTCATGGGAGGGCAGTATGTTCCCCTCCCGGGCTGGCCCCCCCCACTCCTCGCCCCTGGTACGAGCGTTACCTCAATCTCCTGGACCCGCTGCACGCTGGTGTTGTCCCGGATGATGACCGTGGATAAGTGGCTCTTTGGCAAAAACTTTTGCACGGCCATTTCATTGCTGTTGAACAGACTGAGGGGAAAGAGGGTTTGTTACACAATGCCACTGCTTCTCTGGCTCTCCTAGCCTCAGCTTACATTATCTCATCCCTCCGGCTCACCACGTGGGATTACTAGGCAGCAGGGTTCAATCCAAAGGAAGTACTTCTCCACACAACACAGTCAACCTGTGGAACTCCTTGCCACAGGACATTGTGAAGGCCAGGTCTTTAACAAGCTTCCAAAAAGAGCTGGATAAGTTCACGGAGGTTAGGTCCATCAATGGCTAGTAGCCAGGATGGGCAGGGATGGTGCCCTACCTCTGGTTGTCAGAGGCTGGGAATGGGTGACAGGGGATGCATCACTGGATGAGTCCCTGTTCTGCTCACTCCCTCTGGGGTGGGCAGGTATTGGCCATTGTCGGCAGACAGGACACTGGACTATATGGACCTGTGGTCTGACCCACACTGGCCGTTCTTCAGGGTCTTCAGTTTTACATTTTGATGCAGGTTTTTTGTATGTAATTCCACATTTGTAAGTTCAACAGTCACCTGAAAGAGACCGCACTACAGTACTCGGATCAGGTGAACTGGAAAACGTGGGTTGGTTTTTCCAGTGCAAATATTTGTAATTATACAGAAACATCAAGCAAGTACCATCAACTCAAAAGCAGCCAATAGGAATAAACCAGTATTCTATTAGTAACAATGCGATTCATTGTAGAAACCCTACAGTTTAAGCTCCAGATATTTATCCCTGACATCTGAGCCCCTCCCCACCCCACCCCAGCTGAGAGGGTCACACTGACTCTTCCACCCAGGGTACAGAATTTCTCCCCAGCTCTCCCTCCGCTCCAAGAGGGGATCTACCCCCGGCACCCAGACCCTGCCCCTCCCTCCAAGAGCACACAGATCCTTTCTCCTCTCCCTGGTCCCGCAGGGAACACGCCAGAGCTCACCCCCGCTACACTTAGTTCACTTGCCCCCTGTACCCCAAAGAACACACAGCATCCTGCTCAGGGTGTTGAGAGTGAGAACAGGGACGGACCATCAGCCGGAGGAAGCTGCAGCGGAGGAAGGGGAGGTGAGAAACAGAAGGGGCTCCCTGTGGTCGGGGGAGCAGAGAGTTGGGAGGCGGGGGGCAATGCGGGATCCCCGAGAGGCCCTGCCAGGGACCAGTGGGGCTGGGTGCCCGAGGGAAAAGGCCAGCGGGCAGGGAGGGCCCTGTGCCCATGGCCAGACGCAGGCAGAGTATGGAGTGTAACTGAGGTTAGTTTATCCCTGGGGGGCAGGGTCTCTGTGCAGTGGGGGGGCCCTTCTGCCTGGGGTACAAGTGGAGGGGCCCATGGGGTAGAAGTGGGGGGCAGGCGGTTCCCTGTGCTGTGGCGGGGGTCTCTTTAGGGAGGGGATGGGGGATAGAAGTGGGGGGCGGGTGGTTCCCTGGGCTGGGGGGGGTCTCTGGGGGGAGTGGATGTGGGAGAGAAGTGGGGGGCCGGTGGTTCCCTGTGCGGGGGGGGGTCTCTGTGGGGAGGGGATGGGGGATAGAAGTGGGGGGCGGGTGGTTCCCTGGGCTGGGGGGGGTCTCTGGGGGGAGTGGATGTGGGAGAGAAGTGGGGGGCCGGTGGTTCCCTGTGCGGGGGGGGGTCTCTGTGGGGAGGGGATGGGGGATAGAAGTGGGGGGCGGGTGGTTCCCTGGGCTGGGGGGGGTCTCTGGGGGGAGTGGATGTGGGAGAGAAGTGGGGGGCCGGTGGTTCCCTGTGCGGGGGGGGGTCTCTGTGGGGAGGGGATGGGGGATAGAAGTGGGGGGCGGGTGGTTCCCTGGGCTGGGGGGGGTCTCTGGGGGGAGTGGATGTGGGAGAGAAGTGGGGGGCCGGTGGTTCCCTGTGCGGGGGGGGGTCTCTGTGGGGAGGGGATGGGGGATAGAAGTGGGGGGCGGGTGGTTCCCTGGGCTGGGGGGGGTCTCTGGGGGGAGTGGATGTGGGAGAGAAGTGGGGGGCCGGTGGTTCCCTGTGCGGGGGGGGGTCTCTGTGGGGAGGGGATGGGGGATAGAAGTGGGGGGCGGGTGGTTCCCTGGGCTGGGGGGGGTCTCTGGGGGGAGTGGATGTGGGAGAGAAGTGGGGGGCCGGTGGTTCCCTGTGCGGGGGGGGGTCTCTGTGGGGAGGGGATGGGGGATAGAAGTGGGGGGCGGGTGGTTCCCTGGGCTGGGGGGGGTCTCTGGGGGGAGTGGATGTGGGAGAGAAGTGGGGGGCCGGTGGTTCCCTGTGCGGGGGGGGGTCTCTGTGGGGAGGGGATGGGGGATAGAAGTGGGGGGCGGGTGGTTCCCTGGGCTGGGGGGGGTCTCTGGGGGGAGTGGATGTGGGAGAGAAGTGGGGGGCCGGTGGTTCCCTGTGCGGGGGGGGGTCTCTGTGGGGAGGGGATGGGGGATAGAAGTGGGGGGCGGGTGGTTCCCTGGGCTGGGGGGGGTCTCTGGGGGGAGTGGATGTGGGAGAGAAGTGGGGGGCCGGTGGTTCCCTGTGCGGGGGGGGGTCTCTGTGGGGAGGGGATGGGGGATAGAAGTGGGGGGCGGGTGGTTCCCTGGGCTGGGGGGGGTCTCTGGGGGGAGTGGATGTGGGAGAGAAGTGGGGGGCCGGTGGTTCCCTGTGCGGGGGGGGGTCTCTGTGGGGAGGGGATGGGGGATAGAAGTGGGGGGCGGGTGGTTCCCTGGGCTGGGGGGGGTCTCTGGGGGGAGTGGATGTGGGAGAGAAGTGGGGGGCCGGTGGTTCCCTGTGCGGGGGGGGGTCTCTGTGGGGAGGGGATGGGGGATAGAAGTGGGGGGCGGGTGGTTCCCTGGGCTGGGGGGGGTCTCTGGGGGGAGTGGATGTGGGAGAGAAGTGGGGGGCCGGTGGTTCCCTGTGCGGGGGGGGGTCTCTGTGGGGAGGGGATGGGGGATAGAAGTGGGGGGCGGGTGGTTCCCTGGGCTGGGGGGGGTCTCTGGGGGGAGTGGATGTGGGAGAGAAGTGGGGGGCCGGTGGTTCCCTGTGCGGGGGGGGGTCTCTGTGGGGAGGGGATGGGGGATAGAAGTGGGGGGCGGGTGGTTCCCTGGGCTGGGGGGGGTCTCTGGGGGGAGTGGATGTGGGAGAGAAGTGGGGGGCCGGTGGTTCCCTGTGCGGGGGGGGGTCTCTGTGGGGAGTGGATGTGGGATAGAAGTGGGGGGCAGGTGGTTCCCTGTGCTGTGGGGGGTCTCTGTGGGGAGTGGATGTGGGATAGAAGTGGGGGGCAGGTGGTTCCCTGTGCTGTGGGGGGTCTCTGTGGGGAGTGGATGTGGGATAGAAGTGGGGGGCAGGTGGTTCCCTGTGCTGTGGGGGGTCTCTGTGGGGAGTGGATGTGGGATAGAAGTGGGGGGCAGGTGGTTCCCTGTGCTGTGGGGGGTCTCTGTGGGGAGTGGATGTGGGATAGAAGTGGGGGGCAGGTGGTTCCCTGTGCTGTGGGGGGTCTCTGTGGGGAGTGGATGTGGGATAGAAGTGGGGGGCAGGTGGTTCCCTGTGCTGTGGGGGGTCTCTGTGGGGAGTGGATGTGGGATAGAAGTGGGGGGCAGGTGGTTCCCTGTGCTGTGGGGGGTCTCTGTGGGGAGTGGATGTGGGATAGAAGTGGGGGGCAGGTGGTTCCCTGTGCTGTGGGGGGTCTCTGTGGGGAGTGGATGTGGGATAGAAGTGGGGGGCAGGTGGTTCCCTGTGCTGTGGGGGGTCTCTGTGGGGAGTGGATGTGGGATAGAAGTGGGGGGCAGGTGGTTCCCTGTGCTGTGGGGGGTCTCTGTGGGGAGTGGATGTGGGATAGAAGTGGGGGGCAGGTGGTTCCCTGTGCTGTGGGGGGTCTCTGTGGGGAGTGGATGTGGGATAGAAGTGGGGGGCAGGTGGTTCCCTGTGCTGTGGGGGGTCTCTGTGGGGAGTGGATGTGGGATAGAAGTGGGGGGCAGGTGGTTCCCTGTGCTGTGGGGGGTCTCTGTGGGGAGTGGATGTGGGATAGAAGTGGGGGGCAGGTGGTTCCCTGTGCTGTGGGGGGTCTCTGTGGGGAGTGGATGTGGGATAGAAGTGGGGGGCAGGTGGTTCCCTGTGCTGTGGGGGGTCTCTGTGGGGAGTGGATGTGGGATAGAAGTGGGGGGCAGGTGGTTCCCTGTGCTGTGGGGGGTCTCTGTGGGGAGTGGATGTGGGATAGAAGTGGGGGGCAGGTGGTTCCCTGTGCTGTGGGGGGTCTCTGTGGGGAGTGGATGTGGGATAGAAGTGGGGGGCAGGTGGTTCCCTGTGCTGTGGGGGGTCTCTGTGGGGAGTGGATGTGGGATAGAAGTGGGGGGCAGGTGGTTCCCTGTGCTGTGGGGGGTCTCTGTGGGGAGTGGATGTGGGATAGAAGTGGGGGGCAGGTGGTTCCCTGTGCTGTGGGGGGTCTCTGTGGGGAGTGGATGTGGGATAGAAGTGGGGGGCAGGTGGTTCCCTGTGCTGTGGGGGGTCTCTGTGGGGAGTGGATGTGGGATAGAAGTGGGGGGCAGGTGGTTCCCTGTGCTGTGGGGGGTCTCTGTGGGGAGTGGATGTGGGATAGAAGTGGGGGGCAGGTGGTTCCCTGTGCTGTGGGGGGTCTCTGTGGGGAGTGGATGTGGGATAGAAGTGGGGGGCAGGTGGTTCCCTGTGCTGTGGGGGGTCTCTGTGGGGAGTGGATGTGGGATAGAAGTGGGGGGCAGGTGGTTCCCTGTGCTGTGGGGGGTCTCTGTGGGGAGTGGATGTGGGATAGAAGTGGGGGGCAGGTGGTTCCCTGTGCTGTGGGGGGTCTCTGTGGGGAGTGGATGTGGGATAGAAGTGGGGGGCAGGTGGTTCCCTGTGCTGTGGGGGGTCTCTGTGGGGAGTGGATGTGGGATAGAAGTGGGGGGCAGGTGGTTCCCTGTGCTGTGGGGGGTCTCTGTGGGGAGTGGATGTGGGATAGAAGTGGGGGGCAGGTGGTTCCCTGTGCTGTGGGGGGTCTCTGTGGGGAGTGGATGTGGGATAGAAGTGGGGGGCAGGTGGTTCCCTGTGCTGTGGGGGGTCTCTGTGGGGAGTGGATGTGGGATAGAAGTGGGGGGCAGGTGGTTCCCTGTGCTGTGGGGGGTCTCTGTGGGGAGTGGATGTGGGATAGAAGTGGGGGGCAGGTGGTTCCCTGTGCTGTGGGGGGTCTCTGTGGGGAGTGGATGTGGGATAGAAGTGGGGGGCAGGTGGTTCCCTGTGCTGTGGGGGGTCTCTGTGGGGAGTGGATGTGGGATAGAAGTGGGGGGCAGGTGGTTCCCTGTGCTGTGGGGGGTCTCTGTGGGGAGTGGATGTGGGATAGAAGTGGGGGGCAGGTGGTTCCCTGTGCTGTGGGGGGTCTCTGTGGGGAGTGGATGTGGGATAGAAGTGGGGGGCAGGTGGTTCCCTGTGCTGTGGGGGGTCTCTGTGGGGAGTGGATGTGGGATAGAAGTGGGGGGCAGGTGGTTCCCTGTGCTGTGGGGGGTCTCTGTGGGGAGTGGATGTGGGATAGAAGTGGGGGGCAGGTGGTTCCCTGTGCTGTGGGGGGTCTCTGTGGGGAGTGGATGTGGGATAGAAGTGGGGGGCAGGTGGTTCCCTGTGCTGTGGGGGGTCTCTGTGGGGAGTGGATGTGGGATAGAAGTGGGGGGCAGGTGGTTCCCTGTGCTGTGGGGGGTCTCTGTGGGGAGTGGATGTGGGATAGAAGTGGGGGGCAGGTGGTTCCCTGTGCTGTGGGGGGTCTCTGTGGGGAGTGGATGTGGGATAGAAGTGGGGGGCAGGTGGTTCCCTGTGCTGTGGGGGGTCTCTGTGGGGAGTGGATGTGGGATAGAAGTGGGGGGCAGGTGGTTCCCTGTGCTGTGGGGGGTCTCTGTGGGGAGTGGATGTGGGATAGAAGTGGGGGGCAGGTGGTTCCCTGTGCTGTGGGGGGTCTCTGTGGGGAGTGGATGTGGGATAGAAGTGGGGGGCAGGTGGTTCCCTGTGCTGTGGGGGGTCTCTGTGGGGAGTGGATGTGGGATAGAAGTGGGGGGCAGGTGGTTCCCTGTGCTGTGGGGGGTCTCTGTGGGGAGTGGATGTGGGATAGAAGTGGGGGGCAGGTGGTTCCCTGTGCTGTGGGGGGTCTCTGTGGGGAGTGGATGTGGGATAGAAGTGGGGGGCAGGTGGTTCCCTGTGCTGTGGGGGGTCTCTGTGGGGAGTGGATGTGGGATAGAAGTGGGGGGCAGGTGGTTCCCTGTGCTGTGGGGGGTCTCTGTGGGGAGTGGATGTGGGATAGAAGTGGGGGGCAGGTGGTTCCCTGTGCTGTGGGGGGTCTCTGTGGGGAGTGGATGTGGGATAGAAGTGGGGGGCAGGTGGTTCCCTGTGCTGTGGGGGGTCTCTGTGGGGAGTGGATGCATTGCTGCTTAATGAAGTCCGGTTCAGAACTTGTCTGTCAGAGTACACCCGGAGACCGGGGTTCTTAGAGAAGTCTTCTCCGCGAGCGGCCTGCTCTGCTGGGCTGCCCTTCCCCGGCAGACACCTCGGGCCTCCTTGCAGGTTGGCCTGAGGCTTGCTGCAGGGGGCTGTAGTCCACGGGGAACTTGTTTGCTTGGGAGCCTGTCAGTCCTTGCTGGGAACACCCTTAGACTGGGGAATGGTCGTCTGAGAACCCTCCCTCGCTGGTGAAATCAGACGCAAGCAGGCTCCATTTATAAAAAGATCGTGCCCTGGACTGCCACGAGGCCCAGGGGAGCAAAGGGGGCAGTTGCCCCAGGGCCCAGCAACTTCAAAGGACCTTGAGCCCCAGGGTGGTACAGCGGCAGCAATCAGAGTCCCATTGCTGGTGTGGTGTGGTCTGGGCAGTGCTGAGTCCCTAGCCTCCCTCACATTGCCCCGGTCTGTCACCAGCCCTGGTGAGGCCGAAGGTGGCTTCCCCGTAACGGGATGAGTCTAGATCTACTTCACGTTTAGAGCGTGAAAACGTCACCCTTATCCGTTTGGTGGCAGCAGTCTACTGCCTTGGGTCTCCCACAAGCCCTCTCTGTTTTCTAGGCCGAGCGTGTGACGATGCAGCCCTCCCCTGCAGCTGGCTGATAAAGGTTGCCTTAATGAATACAATTTTCGGAGCTATCCCCATCCTGTTCAGGCATCCAGCCATTTATGGCCTGTCCCGGATCACCAGCAGCCTGTACCTCAGCAATGGCACGGCTGCCAATAACAAGCTCCTGCTCTTTGCCAGCCAAATCACGACCGTCATCAACGTGTCGGTGGAGGTGGTGAGCACCTTCTACCCCAACATTCGCTACGTGCACATCCCTATCACGGACACCCCCGTGTCTCGCCTTTCTGATTTCTTTGACCTCGTGGCAGACCGGATCCACAGCGTGGACCTGCAGCAGGGCCGGACGCTGCTCCACTGCGCTGCCGGCGTCAGCCGCTCCGCTGCCCTGTGCCTGGCCTATCTGATGAAGTACCACGCCATGTCTCTGTCCAACGCGCATGCTTGGGTCAAGTCCTGCCGCCCCATCATCAGACCTAACCATGGGTTCTGGCAACAGCTCATCCAGTACGAGTATAAACTCTTTGGGACCAATACAGTGCGAATGGTCAACTCCCCTCTGGGCTTGATCCCGGATGTCTATGAAAATGAAGTAAGACTAATGGTAGCGTTTTGACTGTAACTAGCTTTCCCACATCTCGCCAAGGAGCCCCGCAGGAAAGCGAGGGGACGGCACAGCTGATCGAGTTTGGAACGTGACCCTAAACTCCTCAGCCTAGCGAGGCGTGCTGCGTGTCCCTCCCTGCCGGCATACATACAGAGACAAATGGGGCTGTCTGGGTTTTGCTGTAAATAAAACCAACCGGGTTTAAACTACACCGTTGGGTTTCACGTCCCATTTGTACTGAGTTCTGACGCGAGCTTTAGTGCTGTTTAGAGCACTTTTTGTCCCCACATAGTGAGATTTCTCCCATCTCTGGCAAGGCTCATGGGCCGGCACAGAGTCCAGTTGAAACACGGAAAAAACAGACCCCAAACTCCATCCTCTGCTGTGCTGCAGAGATGCTAGGAACAGAGCATGTCCTGTGCACCCTCTTTTCAGAGACGTGAGGATTCCCTGCCTTCTCCCTTCTTGCCCCACAGCCTTTCTGCTGGAGGATACGCAGGGACTCCCCCCTGCAGAAATCCTTAACCAGATTGGCTGTGGAGAATTGCTGTGCAAAAACCTGCTGACTCCCACTCCCACACCCATACCCACACCCTCTGTGGGCTCAAGAAGCTGCCACTGCAACACCGCCAGCCTCTGCAGAGAGGAAACGGGGCTCTACATGGCCGTTTTGATCACTGTCACAAGAGCCTCAGCCTGTCTGAAAACCTGAGGCCTGACCTGTGGCATTTGGACAAAGCCCCTGTCGAAACGAGTCTCGCACGCAGTAAAAGGTACAGAGAGTAGCTTAGCAATGCTGCAGCATAGCGAGAATGCACCAGAGTGTGTTCCGTTCTAGAATGCAATTACAACTTGTTTTATAGTAGCAAGCTTCACAACAAACTGTCATTCAGAGCATCCGTGTCACTGGGCAAACTTTCAGCATGTCTACATTCTTCTTACGAGAAAAGTTTCACTTTCTCACTTTCACACTACGGGACCTTCTCGCCTACATGAAATGGGGGCTGTTTTACAAGATGGATTCCACACCCCTTTCGGGAGCAGGTCCTGTCATTTTATCCCTGCACAGCGGCGGGGTCAGGTGTCCTTGCTTTGGCCATGCTGGCTTGAGCAGTGTGGCCGCGGCTCTGGGTTATGACTTGCCTCAAATCGCCGCCTCTGCTGACTTACCTCTTTCCGTGCAAGTGTAGCACCTGCAGTAGAGCAATTTGTCTTCCCAGTACAATCAGCCCGTGGCATTAGTCACACAGCTAAGCTTCCCTTGGCCTCTGCGTGCCCCAGGAAACTCTAGCGATTCAGTATTGCTCATCCCCACTGGATAACAGACCAGCCCCCGGGGCACCACTGCTGCAGGTGAGGGAGGGCAGCAAACTCCGCTGGCTCTAGGGAGGGCCCCGGGGAGCTGTCCTCCGTCTGCCCCAGATGACTCCGATTTTTGGATCCCCAGGGAGGCCGTTGGTTTTGCTACAGAACAAGCCTGTAGCCAGGTTCGTGCGTCAGACAGACAGGCAGGAATAAGCCGGTTTTCCCCTCTGCCAGCGCCCACGGAGGGCATTGCTGGTTGGTAGAGGTCCCAGCCTGCCAGGGTATCTCCAAGCAGGAGAGCCTGCTCTCACTGGTACACGCAGACAGAGCCATTCGAACAGGCAGCAGAACCAGCTGGCTACCTGCGTCGGTACAATACGCTCTGTCCCCCAGCCTGATACTAGACACAGCACACCCGGGGCCTGCAAGGGTGGTAGCAAGTGCTGTGCCTGGGGGTTACCAGCTGCTCCCTCTTCATGCAGGACCTCTGGTGCAAGTGGTCACTGAGCAACTGCCCCACAGTCCTGCAGATGCACCCCATGTTTTACCTGCCCCTGGGGCCAGCCGGGACCTAACCAGATCTTTGCAAGACACCCGGAACAAAAAGAGCTGCTGCGCAGCCTCTGTGCGCCTACCGTGGGACTGGGAGGGTCAGTCCTTTGGGGCCCAGTCCAAGAGGTGGTAGGCCGAGTGTGTCCTGTGGGATTTGGCCCAAAGGCCGCCTCGGGAAATCCATGTTAGAGAGCCAATGGGAGCCCTGTTTGTGAGCTGAGTTTGTGGGGAATCTGGCCTGAAGCTTTGTCCCGTCAGAACATAAGCTCCACGGAGCTCTCAGACTCACACGGCTGCCCCTCTGGGACTTTTCCAGCTGGGGCCTGGCCAGCACTGAGTCCAGCAGGAGCCAGGCCCATGAATCTCCCTGACACGCAATGGAAATCGAGCACCTCGTTCTCCCAGCCTCTGCGGACAGCCCCGGCCATTGCCGTTACGGGTCAAGCGCCAGGCAGTCTCATCAGCTCACTTCAACCCGTGAAGACGAAGAGACTTCCAAGCAAGAATTTTTTGTGTCCTCTACAGCAGCACCCCCTCTTGGAGACCAGCTGAATTGCTTAGGGCATCAAAGTGCAATCAGCATTTCCGAGACCTGTGTATTAGTATCTAGACTGGCCAGTTTTTCCGGAAAATCAGCCGCTTTTCCGAAAAAACTTGCCAGCTGTCTACACTGGACATTTGAATTTCCGCAAAAGCACTGACTTCCTACTGTCTGAAATCAGTGCTTCTTGTGGAAATACTATGCTGCTCCCATTCAGGCAAAAGTCCTTTTGCGCAAAACTTTTGCACAAAAGGGCCAGTGTAGACAGCTGAGATTTGTTTTCCGCAAAAAAGCCCCGATCGCAAAAATGGCAATCGGGGCTTTTTTGCATAAAAGCGCGTCTAGATTGGTACGGACGCTCTTTTCCGAAAATGCTTTTAACGGAAAATTTTTCCGTTAAAAGCATTTCCGGAAAATCCTGCCAGTCTAGACACAGCCTCTAGACTGAAACAGCTGAAAAAATAAAAGATACAAGAGTTGTGTCTAAGCTAACCAGAGACCCATCAGTCCATGGCTACAAGGGCTTTTATACATTAAACCTCCGTTTGATGTATAGTTCAAGTATTTCATACAAATACTGTATGGCTCTCATTGGACAATAAAATACATTTTCATCTTAGGCCACTCCGACCCAGTCTTTTGTGAGATTCCCTGCCACTTTTCAAGTAACAATTCCCAGCAACCTTAAGAGACTGCTTTGAGGCTGTCTTCAATGGTGCCTTCAGGTAAGTCTCTGCTGTGGGAAAGCAGCTGTAGATGTCGTTCCTCGGGCGAATCAAAGGCTGGTGGCTGTATCAGGAAAGGCAGGAGAAGTGCCCAGGTGCCCTTGGCAGAGAAGAGTCCACGCAGTTCAGCCAGAAGTTGGCACAGCTGGCATGATAACAGCTGCCCCCATAGAAAACCAGGCTTGTGTTGCCTGAGAGAGCCTGCCAAGTGCAACAGTGACTATTACAAGAGCTGTCGCCATAGCCACGGAGGGGGCAGACGACCTGGCCTGGTTGAGACCCCTGGGATGGCACAGAATCATGGAAGGGACCTCCCGGCAGGACCCATCTCTGACAGGTGTCTGTTTAACATGCTCTGCAATATCTCCAGCCTCCCCGGGCAACCGATTCCAGCATTTCACCACCCGGACAAGCAGGAAGTTTTTCCTGATGTCCAAGCTCAACCTCCCTTGCTGCAGTGTAAGCCCGTTGCTTCTTGTCCTGTCCTCAGAGGCCGAGGAGAATTTTTCTCCCTCCTCCTTGTGACCCCCTTTTAGGGACTTGAAAGCTGCGATCATGTCCCCTCTCAGTCTTGTCTTTTCTAAACAAGCCCAATTCTTTCAGCCTTGCCTCAGAGCTCATGTTCTCGACCTTTCATCATTCTTGTTGCTCTCCTCTGGACCCTCTCCAATTTTTCCACGTCTTTCCTAAAATGCGGTGCCCAGAACTGGACACAATACTCCAACTGGGGCCTGACCAGTGCAGAGCAGAGCGGAAGAATGACTTCTCGTGTCTTGCTCACAACTCCCTGTTCATGCAGCCCAGAATCATGTTTGTTTGTTTGCAACAGCATCACACTGTGGACTCATATTTAGCTCGTGATCCACTCTGCCCCCTAGATCCCTTTCTGCCGTACTCCTTCCTAGACAGTCGCTGCCCATTGTGTGCGTGAGACTGATGGGCAGACCGAATTACTCGCCATGCCCAGGAGCTGTGCCCCCATCGTGTTGGGGCTGGGGACAGCCTGGGCTTCGAGCCAACTGTCCCTCCCCCTCCAAACAGCATGCACACGGGGCTTCGTGGCTACTGGCCCTGCAGAAAGACATGCCCCCTTTCCAGCACCACGGAGCCGAGAACATAGGAACTTACCGCTGAGTCCCCCTTCCCCTCCC